GAGAGAGCCTTGGAGCTGGTGCCTTTCCATGGTCCCCTCCTGCCAGCACCCTTTAAGCAGCTCTTGCCAGCACTGACAGGCGCAGCGGTTTGCACAAACACATTTACCACTTACCACGGCTACATAACTCCGTAAGCAACCACCTGTAACTCGTGGGGGACGTGGGATCCTGCTGCCTTGGGCATAATGCCAGTGGATGGGCAAAAACACGTGGGCTGGTGACTCCAATTCAGCCCAGGACTGCACCCCCAGTGCAAATTAATGCAGAGAAGTTTGTTTGATCTGGTGCAGAGCTGGAAGGGGATGCCGTAAGCAAGTAAAGTCCTTTGGGTTGGTTTTTTTTTATCTGCAAGATCCTCTTTAAATGATCTCTGTGGAGGGATCTTTAATACTAGTTTAAAGAAAAAGTAAGGGAAAGAAAATTACATCCAGAGTGTGTGGTATGACAGCGTTTTAATTTAAAGTACAGCTTGTGCTTTCCTCTTACTTGGGAAGAGCACAGTTTGGGGAAACTTTGATCTTAGTAACAGATAGCCTGTGAGAGCTGGGGGGGAGTAGTTATTGGACTGTTTCAGTGTAAGCTGCTTAACCATTCACGTGCTGTTTGTGTATTCTTGGGAAGCCAGGGCTGAAGCTCATGCTGGTTTTTCTTTTGTATGCATTTTTTTTTTTTCCCTCTTCAAAAGCATCCAGCAATACTTGGGCCACTGAACAATACAGAATGAGGATGGCAATAAGACCGCTACAAAGGGGTAAAGGTGGAAGAGTGCTTGCTTTACAGAGAAAAATATACAGAGGTTTGTCTCAATTTCCACCTCGTTCTAGTTGACATTTCCGTGTTCACCTTCAAGTTTCTGACAAATCACTGTCTGTGGTTTCTACTAGAGTCCTTTCATAAGATTTGCTTAACCAGTGTGGAAGTCTTTGTAAGGAGATCCTGTATCTTAATCTCTATTACTGAATTCCTAATTGTGAGGTGGTTGGTGCTGTTGTATTGCCAGTATTGTGGGTTTTCTGCTGTGCCCTCCCTCTGTCTGCAGCTTGTTGGAAGACTGTCCCCGGCAAAATGCCTTTGACTCAGGAGCAATGAAAACTTCCCAGGGTCAGCTGTGAGCATTGCCATTCCTGAAATAACTCAGGGGATTAAAACCCAATCATAATAAACATGGATTTTGCTGACTTCAAGCTTGCCATAAAGACTTGCAACCACCAAACAGCCCAGACTAAACCGAGATAGCTAATTTTTAATACTTATTGCATAATGAGAGATTATACAATTTTCTTAATGTAATGAAAATTATACTCTGTCCCCACAGTTGTAACTCCTTCTATGCAGACCAACATCCCTTTATGGAGCATCCTCCAAGCACATTGCCTGGAGCTTGCTGGGACTGCCTTTGGCCAGCACCAAGAGCTTCAAAACAGTAAAACACGACCTGCCTCTTCTAATTTAATGTTGGTTTTAATCTGCATCCGCAGTGGCAGCCTGCTAAAATCTAAATCAAATCAAGAGGTGGAGATTGAATTTATTAAGCTTCTGCTTAAGCTGAGTAGAATAAGGCATGAGGCTTCAAGAGCATTGAATGGCTTTAGTTTTATTTGGGATCTGGTTTAAAAAGACCCAAAGCGAACCAGAATTTTTGTTTTGTTTTGTTTTGTTTTTTTCCTTGAGAGGCTGAACGTGCAGAGCTATTTCCAGTTAATTTTAACACATCATTTAAAGGCATCCTCGAGGATTGAAGAAAATGTTTTTCTTTAAAGAAAAAGAAGAGAAAATGGATGGAGATACTGGAGTGTTGGGACGTTAAGTGGTTTGCCCAGGGTTGTGTGTGCTGAGCCTAAAGTCAATTAATCCTTTGTTCCCAGTGCTTTGAGATGGATCCACCTGCCTTTTTCCTTTATAACAAGCTCCAGCAGAAGACCAGGAGGCTGTTAAAGCTCACAAAGCCAGCACATGGCATACGGAGATACGGAGTGGTATAATTGTGTTAGAGGTGTGACTATGGAAGTAGGGGTTCACAGGGATGCTCTCCTCCTGCCTGGGTGGATAGCTGCCAGGGTTGCTGGTTTTGGTGACCTGGTGGCTCTATCTCTATGGATTTAATTGGCAAATATGTGGTGTATATTTGGAGGGACCAGGTTGGAGGCAGGGAATGCAGGAGGGATGAGTGTGGTGCTCCAGGTGCCCCCACCATGGGCTGCCTCCAAGCCTCGTCAGGTTTTAATTAAAGCTCTCCTTGTAAAGATGTAACAATGACAAAGTGCTTTTATTCCAGCGCTGTGCTGGACATATTTGGGATTTACGGGTCAAAGGGAAGGCTTGGGTGGGGGTTTGTACAGCAGCCTGCCCTGCCTGGAGGGCTGAGCACTTGTGTCTCTGCTGGAGCACAGCAAGGAGGGGAGGACGGTGAAAAAGCACAACAAAACAAATGTAATAAGTCTTCCCCTTCTCGGGTGCGTGTGTGTGCACGCGCGAGAGGACAGCATTATAGATGCTTGGGGAAATGCATTCATAGCAGCCTCTTCCAGCAGCCCCTGGCTGTTTAGCAGGATGGGAAGCACTTGGAGCGTGGAGACCTTGATCACATTTGGAATCTCACAGCCAGGGACCAAGAGACCCCCGGGGCTCCTGAGACCTGGCAAACATCTCTGTCCTGTTGCCCCCCGTACTGTGTGAGCCCTTGCACATGTGTGTATACACAAAGTCCTGGAAAATCAGTTTTAAAATTCTGTGGTTTTTTTGGTCAGGGTGGCTGATGGGGTATGAGGTCTCCCACCACTGGGTTTTGGGCAGTGGATGCTGAGAGCTGCCACCCTCTACCAGCAGTTCAGAGCCTCCTGTGGCACCTGAGTCTTGGGTGGCTCCTGGCCATGGCTGGTGATGAACTGCTGAGGATGACCACTGTGACCTCTTACTGCTGCTGGAGGTGCACCCAAATTTCATTTACCGAAACGTTCACAAGCACCACTGTGGTTTTTGGGTTGCTTTGGGGTCAGCGTGTCTCTGTCTGCACCTGCCTGTCCAGGCAGGTCCGTGGCTCAGCCTAGCCCTGTGCACAGGTGGAGAATTTGCAAGGTTGGCAAGACCAGCAACATCTTGTCTTTGAAGCTGCCTTGAGCTGGGAACATCTTGATCCTTGGCTATTCTGGGCATTTCTAGAGCATGTCTGAATCTCTCTTCTGCCAGGAGAGAGCTGGCACTGGATGAATCCACAGTGGTGGAGATGAAAGAGCAGGCAAAGTGCTTTGCAGAGGGATGAGAGCTGCAGGAACGGTCTGTAAAGCACTTTCTGTAGTCTCAGAGTCTGGAGAAGCAGGTGAGGAAGGATGAGTGATGCATTGTCATCTCGCCAGCTGCACCTACTTCTTCTTTCAAGGGCCAGCCAAAGATGGGGTTCCTGGCCATGCTGCAGGGATGTGTCAGCTCTTTTTGTTTGCTGGAGGGGACAATGGAGATTGGGCTGGGGGTCCTGAACCAGCCCCTTCCTCATTGCAGCCTCCCTCCCTCGTGGTGGGGTGAGCACTGAAGGCTCATGGGATCTAGAGGTGGTGTGATGAAGGGGGGGGGGGATTATTTATTTATTTATTAATTTGCTTCATGATAAAACTGCTGTTCTGGCAATACAATTGTGTAGCTCCAATAACATCTAAAGGTTCCTGCTGCTGTAGCTATTGAGCAGCTCTAAAAATAATTACAAGTGATACATATAAAAAAATCCATTGCTTTTCAGCTGCAGAGCGGACTGTCAGATGGATGCCGCTGCTGTTTTAGCTGGTGGGTTGCTACAAAATGTTACTTGGCCGTCATGTGCTTGGGTTTGGTTTTAAGGTGAAGGCCGAAACTTACCTTTGATGCTCCGGTGCTTTGGATCTTCTGGAATCTCCCCCAACCCCTTGTGTTTGGAGTAAGAATAAGGTTATACGGTTCTTATTTCAGTCAACAGGCGGGAGACATGCCCCCCAAATGCCAATAAATTAGTGACAATTGAGGTGTTCCCATTGCCTCCTGTGTTGGGCTGTCTGAGTCCAGCATCAGGCTGGCTTCGTGGGTCCGTGGCCAGCAACCAAAGCCTGATTTGTGATGCAAAGACGAAGCAAATTGGGGTTCCTCGTTATCAGGACCTTGCCCTGGCAGCACTGTGTGCAGGAAAACTGCTCTGGCAAAAGAAAGGCGGATGTAGAGGGTAAGGGGAGACCCACGGGTGGAGGTGAATGTGTTTCTGGTTGGCCTGCAGGACTTTTGTCCCAGCTCCCAGAAGAAGTCCTGGAGGTCTCAGCACAGCAGTGGCTACTTGCTGAGCACGAGGGGATGTTTTTATGCAGCCTGGGCAGAATCTCTTTATCACAGAAGCAATTAAACCTCGTTAGCAGGAGGTGCGGTGCCCGGAGTGTGCTGCTCACACTTGGGTTTTATCCCTTCACGCACACTTTGGCTGGGCTGTGCAGGTCTGCCTTGGGGATTTTGGTGGCAAAAGAGGTTAAATGTTGCATTTTCCTGGAGCCCTGAAGCCTGTTTGCAGGTTTGCCTCCAACTGAAGGAGCTGGCATTGGTGTCGTCTTTTGCCTGCTCCATGGCAGTGGGTTTGGGTGGGGGCTTGCTCTGTGGGAACCAAACTGTCCTGTTCTGTGCAAAATAAATACACCCTGGCGTATGGTCTGCTGGGGCTGAATTGTGTTATTTCATAAAAGCTTCTGGAAGGCTGTTTTTTTCCCAGGGAAATTAAATTCCATGTTTGCCTCGAGGCTCTACCTTGCTTTGTCAGATTAGTAACAAGCCAGCATACACCTCATCCAGGAGAAGCTTGACTGAAAACCAGACTTTTAAAAACTAAAACTGGAATTTATGTTGTTTTTTTTTTTTTTTCTGAAATCATTGGTTTAGCTGCACTGACTTTACAATGAGTGTGGGATTGTATTAATAGAGAATTAATTTATTTCTCATTTAATTTCCTGAGGTTTCCTCATATTTAAACTTTTTCTTTCTTCCCCTCCCTCTACAGTACACTAGGGTTTGGATTCCTGACCCTGATGAAGTTTGGAGATCAGCAGAAATTGTCAAGGATTACAAAGAGGGAGATAAAAGCCTCCAGCTGAAACTTGAAGATGAAACTGTAAGCTTTTGAACGTCGTTATTCTTTTTAGTAATTTAAAGCTTCAAATTAATGTGTGAAGAAGCCTGATCCATCTCATAGTTTCTGTGAAGCAGTTTAAAATGTGTTTTATTGCCTCAACACTTCCAACTCTTCCCTGCCCGCTCCCTCCCTAGACACTTGTGTTAAAGTAGGTTGTGAGAAAAGCCCTTGACCTCCATCATCTCTTTTCATCCCCTGGCAAACTTGTAATAGTCTGTGATATCAGAATGTATTCTTTTTTTTTAGTAGTAGCAATATGTTAGAAATACCAGTTTACGCTCTTTGCTGCTGAACAAACTGTGAAGAGCACGGCTGGTGGCATCTACTCAACCTTGGGTACCGATGAAAAAATCACACAGAGCACAGAACTGACTGCTGTGTAACAGCTTTCTCCACGCCTTTGTTTTTCTCTTTAAGTATAATCTTATGTAAAGCTCTCTTTTACCTCCATTTTACTTTTAACAAATGGGTTTTAAAAGGCAAGACCCACAAAACTCATTTAAATGTAGATGTTTTCTAGCAAGCGCTGCTTCCGAACGCACACGCAGCCAGCAATAAATCATTCCCAAAGCAGGATGGAGGCTGGGGAAAAGCAGCTGCTTTCTGTTCCGCACAAAAAGCTCACGGAGTGGGACTTTGGGTGACAGCAAGGAATTGCAGATGAAGTTAACCATGGCATTTGCATCAGCTGCAGATTTGGGTGGTTTATGGAAAGGGGGCAGCCGTGCTATGTACCCACCACGAGGTGCCTGGTGTAGCAGGAAGAATAAATACATTTTTCATGAAGAATTTCACCCAAACCAACCTTCTTCACCGAGCAGGTAGGGTTTACTCAATAGTCTAGAAGATGATCTGCTCTGTTGCATAAAAGAGCACTTCAAATTGAACATGCTCCAAGGAGGGCAAGTAATCCACATCCACTGCCAGCCAACCATTTCGACACTTTGGGGAATATCTTGACCATGTTGCTTAATGGGCAGATGGAGAACAGGAATGAGATGTGGTTGATGAGGCTGTTCATCAAAACAGCTTTTCTTTCACAGCAGGGCAAGCACAGGCTGTTGCCAGTGTGTGAATGTGCCAGGTTTGCAAAGAAATTCAGTGATGCTGGAATCTGCGCCCAGGACTTGGTGCTGTGGCTTTTTCCTGGCTCAGCTGTGTCTGCTTTTGTTGTCCTCCACAGTTTGCTCTTCCAGCATAGGGCAGCTTTGGAGAAGGGTAAAGGATGGATGATCCTACTCTTGGAGGTGCTTTTTTTACCCTCCATGGTGATAAATCTGGATGAGGAGATGCACAGAAGCCACCCCACTATTCCTTGGAAGCACCAGGCACCAAGTTGCAAGAGACCTTAAAGTTCAGCCAGTTCCACTGCCACGGGCAGGGGCACCTTTCACTATCCCAGGTTGCTAAAAGCCCCATCCAACCTGGCTTTGTACACTTGCAGGGATCCACGGGCAGCCGCAGCTTCTCTGGGCAACCTGTGCCAGGGCCTCACCACCCCCACAGCCAAGAATTTCTTCCTAATATCTAATCTAAACCTACCATCCTTCATCTTAAGGCCATTCCCCCTTGTCCTGTCCCTCCATCCCCTGTCCCAAGTCCACGTTGATCTCTCCTGGAGTCCCTTTAGGCCCTGGAAGGGGCTCTCAGGTCTCCCTGGATCCTTCTCTTCTCCAGGTGAACACCCCCAGCTCTCCCAGCCTGGCTCCAGAGCAGAGGGGCTCCAGCCCTCGGAGCATTTCTGTGGCCTCCTCTGTTATCACTCCAGTAGCTCCAGGACCTTCTGATGTTGGGAACCCCAGAGCTGGGCACAGATGGGTGTCTGGGTGCAGATGGGTGCCCATCTCATTCACAGCAGCTCCTTCCTACCACCTCTTGTGCTCAGGCTGCCAAAGTATGTCTGCTCATATTTCTGAGTGCTACAACCTCCATCCTTCTTTTCTGGTTGAGATCTCCAGCAGTTCTAGTGCTTGGGAGGGTTTTTTTCCCTATCTTTAATCTGGATATTTCCCTGGAAACCAAAGGGGCTAAGAAATCCTGCAAGGTCTACTCAAGAGCTGAGTATCAGCAACATTAAAGTACAAAGAGACTACTAGGTGTTGTAGGTAGTAGCTTAATAAGCATGTCACTGTCATGGTGAGATGTGGAACATCTCATTTAGGGGTTGTGTAAGACACCCAAGGTCTCTGGGAGCACCCTGTTTGATTCTCTTCTGTATGAAGCCCTGCCTGGATCTGAGTCATGTTGGACTGAAAAGCTTTAGGAAAGGGAGAGAGCACTCCTGTCCATCAGATTGGAGATACCCAGCATACATATCTTCAGGGGATTCAAAGCTGTTGAAAGCCTTTTGTTCCTGACAGCCAACATGCATTACCCAACAGTTTAATGCTTCTCTTTTGTCCTTGTGCTTTAAGTGAATTTTCATGGGTTTTGTGTTTTCTGGCTCTGCTCTGTATGCAAGAGTACTCCCTCTGAATGAAGAGCTGACTTTTAAATATCACAAGGCATCCCTGGTGTGTTTGCCATTAAGATGTGAGACTGAGTGCAAACTCTTGAAAATTGGCATTGACAACATGGAATTGGAGAATAAAACCAGCCTGAGGTTGTCAGACGTGCTGAGAGACCCCGTCCTCGTGCACTTGGGTCAGCTTTCCTTGTGCTGTTTCCATGGGCAGTGTTCCAGTGCTCTTTTGCTTGCAAACTGGGGTTCTTCCCTTCTGCTGGGACCTGAGCATCAGGACCCCTTTGTGAGGCACCCTGTGGGAACTAACATCACAGGAAAAATTTTTTCCTCCACTGTAAAAAAAAAATAAATTACAGTTTTTCTTTAGTTGGTGGCTCTGCTGCTCACTTGGGGATGAGTCAAAAATAGCATAAGGCTGCCCATATGGTAACTTCAGCAGCGTAAACTGGCTCCTCAGACACCGAAGCAGCAGGGACTCCATGATTCTCCATGTCCTCTCTGCCTGAAGAGGTGTCAGGTTTTGGGTATGGAAGTAACTTGAATTAAAAATGAGTTGAGAAATCGTTCTGATGGTAAGAACGTGGTCTAGTTTGAAATGAGGCTGCTTTTCAAAGAGCATGAAGGTGCTTAGATCAGATGAAGCTGTGCTTGTCTGTGTGGTGCCTGTTACTGCTCAGAGCTGGCTAAAGGCTGTTTGCCCCAAGGTTGGCCTGAAAACAACTCAGATATGCTCAGGTTGGTGCTTGTGGACCATCATGGTACTCCAGGACCTTGGTTGGCCACCTCAAAGCCATTTACCAGAAGGATGACCTGTCACCTGGTAGCGCATCATCCAGGTCCCTATAGCATGTAGCATAAAGGGGCTTTTAATTTCATTTAGAGCAGGATGTGTAAGTATTTTATACTATCAGACTGGAGTTATGCTTGGATAAGTTATTAGATATTAAAGGAGCTGTTGTTTGTTGTGTTCTCATGTTCCTCATGTGTTTCTCTTCAGCTCTACGAATATCGTCTTGACCTCCAAGGAAATGAGCTGCCTCTCCTATGCAATCCAGATATCCTGGTCAGAGAGAATGACCTGACAGCCCTCAGCTACTTGCACGAGCCTGCAGTCCTGCACAACCTCAAAGTCAGGTTCCTGGAGAGCAACTTTGTCTACACGTACTGCGGTGAGTGTCCAGGCCACAGGTTCAGCTCCTGGAAAGCTGTGGGTCCACAGAGAAACCCCTTGAGATCACAAGCCAGAGGCTGCAGCACGAGGAAGGTCTGGGGACTGTGATTTTGGGGTGGGTGGGAGACACAAGTGTGTGTCAGCAGGCTTTAGTTTGTAAAACCACAGGTGGTTTTTGAGGGTTGGTGCACTGTGAACTTCCTGAGCTCATGGTCCAGCTGATCCAGTTCCACAGCAGCTGGTGTTTCCTCTAACTCTTGGTGGGAACATCTTGTCAGATGAGTTTGAGGCCAACTTTTTGTGTGCTTGGCAACCCCCCCAGGGAAAAAGTAGGATATAGCAAATCACCAAAGAACAGCAGCATGCCAGAAAGAGTGATCCAACTGAGAAATGTTCATAGTGGGTTTTCCTCCTGAAAGACTGCAAAAAACCTTCTTGTGTTCTTATTTCCTTCCTTTTCTTAATGACTTTGGGAGTCATATAAGCCTCGAATTCAAGGTGGAAGGAGGGCAGGTGTGAACTTGGGTTTGTCCTTTTTGGGGCGGGTGGCTTGCCAAAGCTATTCAGGACTGCAGTTACCTGTGAATAAATAGCAACAAATTGCAACTTAAAAAAATCCAAAAAAAGGAAGAAGGCAGTTCATAAAATCCCAGGATGGTTTGGGTTGGAAGGGACCTCAAAGCTCCTCTCGTTCCAACCCCCTGCCATGGGGCAGGGACACCTTCCACTAGACCAGGTTGCTCCAAGCCCCATCCAACCTGGCCTTGGACACTTGCAGGGATCCAGGGGCAGCCACAGCTTCTCTGGGCAACCTGTGCCAGGGCCTCACCATCCTCACAGACAGCAATTCCTTCCCAAAATCCCATCTAACCCTGCTCTGTGTCAGTTTGAAGCTGTTCCCCCTTGTCCTGTGATGAGTTGCAGGATTTCAGCAAAATCCATGGGACCACTTGCATGGCAGGGCAAGGCCTGGTGTGTGATGAAGTGTTTCAGTTTAGGGTTGTTGAGGAAATGCTTGGCAGGAGGAGGTGACTTTTTAAAATAGTTCCCTTGAAATATGTAGCCTCTGTGGCTGTTGTAGTGGTGACTTTCCTCCCAGTGTTTAATGATGTGTAATGTGGGACTGCTGGCATAACTTGCAGCCTTTTGCAGCTGCACGTGTGCCTTCAGTCAGCTGCAAACCTGCTCCCATCCAAAATCAGTGAGGTTTCATTTGTGCAGCTTCTCGTGAAGGTTTATGATAACCTTGAGCACAGCATCACATTAATGAAGATAAAGGGGTTTGGGCTTAGCAAGTGTAGGTTTAGCTACAGAGCTCTGCGTGGGTACAAAATACCCCGTGCTCTGGTTATAAAGTGGTTGAGAAGGGTGGAAGAGTGCTTATCTGGGGTAACAACAGCCCTTCAGCTTGGCTTGCGTGGTGTTTTTTGGTGACTGAGGGAAATTGGGGCACGCCCCCAACAGAACCAGGAAGCAAACAGGCAGGAGGAGGGCACAGGGAGGTGAAGCAGCTGGGTTAATGTCCTGCAGAGGCAGGTGATGTCGCTGACCTTTGCCTCCCACGGCGGGGTGAAGTCACGTCTCCTGGTGTTCGCTGCCAGCTGAGGGTTCCCGTGCTCCGCTGTAATTTCAGGGTGCCCAAGCCCTGAATTGGCTGGGGCCCACTCCCACCAGCCACCTGCTCCCCAGAGCCCCTCACAGTAGCGGTTTAAACCTGCAGAACCTGAAGGTGCTTCAGAGGTGGAACTTTGTCAGCGCTTACATGCAGGGCAGCTCCCTCGAGCGCACAGGGAACACCACAGGTGGCTCTGCCTCTCATTAATTCCAAGGCTCACTGCCTCCTCTGGGCAGGCACAGCATTCCTAGAGCTGGAGAGGAGGCAGACATTAAAGCTTTAATGCAGGCTCTGGCATTCCTTTCCTATGATTTATGCGTATCAGTTTGATTTCGGGTACATTCTTTGTTATGAGCTTTCACTTGAGATTTAAGCCAGGGGAACCCCCAGCATGTTTGTTTGGGTCTAGCAGAGCTTTGGTTGCTTTTCTGAAGTGATCGCTCAGGCTCTATTTAGCTTTCCTCGCTCCTTCTGCAAAGCCTGGCTTCACACAATGTAAGTTATTATAAATTTTTGCTCTTATCACTAGTTTTGTAGGCCTCCTGTGCAGCTGTATGGGAGCTTATTGCCTTGCTATGAAAGCGTAGCCCTTAAAAGGAGATGCTGAGATAAGAATCAGGAGTCCTCCCCCATTCAATTCTCATCTTTTTTTTTTCCCTTCAAGCATCATATTTAAAAGAAAAAAATGATCAAAACAACTAATGCACACCCTGAAAAGCCTGAAATATTAACTCCCTGCTTGGTTTGTGATATACCTGCCTATTTATCTGTTCTAAGGTATCGTGCTTGTGGCCATCAACCCATACGAGGAGCTGCCAATCTATGAAGAAGATGCCATCTATGCATACAGTGGCCAAAACATGGGGGACATGGATCCCCATATCTTCGCAGTGGCCGAGGAAGCCTACAAGCAGATGGCCAGGTGAGTGGGTGCTCAAAGTGGGAAAAGATGCAATTAAACGCGGGAATTGTGCAGTGAAAGGGAAGTTGTGGAATTCTACTTGCTGGCTGGACCCCGTCATTGCTTTCCAAGGCTGCTGGGCTCATGGGGATCCCTGTGGTCCTCAGGAACTCAGGGATTTGGTGCAGCCGTGATTCTGATAGGGATCCTTCTCCTGCTGCTGCTTGGGTGAGCTTCCTGGAACAGGTTCAAACCACTCTGCAAATGTCATGTTTAATAGCTTGGAGGAAACCACATTTCAGATAATTTGGTGAGATAATCCAGCTAAACCCAGGAGCTAATGTTAGTTGTTTTTACGGAGCCGTTGTGATTTTGAGTCAGGAGGTGACTGGCAGATATTTGGGGGTATTTATGGATCTTTCAAAGCAGTGTCTTCACCAGATGGATGTGGTGGGAGTTCTACTTCATTTGTTTCTGTGTTTGTTGTGTTGCTGAAGACAGATGTAGGATTTTGTTCTTAGCAGATAAGTCACGATCTAAAAGAGAATTTGGGAGGCAGCTGAAAGTTGTTGCACCAGGGATCATTTTATTATAGTTGTCAGGACTCTCACAGTGTGTTTATGTTTGCTTGTGGATTAGCTGAGATTTTTGTACAACCCCGGCTTTTAATAGCAAGAGTAAGCACTGAACCACTTTCCAAGGGTTGCAACCTGTTTTCTGGGCTTTAGTGGTGAGTTAGGATGCATTTCTAATCAATGGTGTGCCAGAGTTCAATCCAGAAATGCATCTGGAGGAGCACTGCCGTGAGTGGACATCAGAGGGATTGTGTCCAAACTGAGTGCAGTTCACTCCCGTGAGTGCTTGTGCTTTGGGCAGATCTGCTTTGAGAAGGGTTCAGGAATTTGGAAAGCTGTCTAAAGGGAAGAGGAAGGCTTAGAATTTTGTCCTTGTGTGAGTCCAGGCTGAGCAGCAAGCTGCACGGGTTTTTTTAGAAGATATCAGAGCTTTGCTGACCAACATGGACAGGACCCATGGATTTTCCTGGGCAGGTGTCTAAAATATAAGGCTTTTCTGAAACTGAAGTTTGTGTATTTTTGCAGGCAGTGGGCTAACAGTAAGCTCTAGCCAAAGATGCTTGACTCTGCTTTCCTTCTTGTCAGAATAAAGCTACTTTTGACAAGCAACTCATAATTGATAACTGCTGCCTCTGGGTGGTTAAGACTGCTCTGTTTTCAAGAGGACAGGAAAATAACCACCTTCAAAGCTCTTAAATAAGATCCTCACTGATCAATGCTCCTCTAGTGCTTGCTGTTTTGGGCTGTTATTATGGTAATTGCGGGTTTGGGTACAAAAGAGTGTTTCAAACGGGGCTGAGAGGAGATTGGGATGTGGATTACAGGAATCTACCTGTTTATTTGAAATGTACCTTAAAATGTAGCACACTGTATTTTAAATCTGAAAGCTTCTGGGTGGAAGTTGTGTTTTCCACAGTTTGATCCGAGCTTTTCCCTCTGCAGTGCTCCAGGGAGAGGGGTGGAGCTGCTTGAACAGGGTGTGTGGATGGCAGGGCTCATGAGTGATGGATGAAGGGCATTGAACAGGACTTCTTTTTGCCTTTTTTTAAACTGAAATACTGACTCTGTGGGATGCCTTCTGCCTGCAGCTCAGCTTTAGGCAATTGGGGTACACGTGAGGTGGGCCATGGGTGCTTGGGCAGCTCAGCCATCAGGGTGGAGGTTTGTGAGCATGTTAAACCTGAACTGGTGCAAAAACCTCACTTCCTTTGCAGTGTCAGAGCTTTTAAACAATTGGATTATGTCTGGTGCATCCTATAGACCAGGAAAAAAATTCAAACTCTCCATCTCAGAAGGTCAAACTTGCAATGTGATTGAGAGCAGAAGAACAGTCTTCTGGATTCTTCTGAATATTTTAGCTTCATTAGTGGCCCAGAACACACTGGAAAGGCACAGTGGAGGTGACTGAATGGGATTGAGTAGATGGCAAGGGAAAAGGGCACAAAATCTAAGACTCTCTGTAAAATGAGAAAAATTGAGGTAATTAGATTTTTAATTCTCTGAGCTTCTAGTATACCATGGCCATTTAGAGACAGGGTGCCAGGGCAGAGCTTAAGATACTGGTGGTGCACAAGTGTTAGTGAAGTCCTGTGCCTTCTCCCCTGCCTCAAGCCAATAGTGTCCATGAGATGGGACTGGGGACTCTGCTGGATCCCGTGTTTGGTTTTGTCCCGTCATCAGAAAATGCCAATTTAAAAAGAAGGAAAAAAAGACGTGGGTGAGCGGGATAAAGGGGCTGCAGAGAGTGTACAGCAACATCTGATCCCTTTTTTGAGTCTAAGTAGTTCACAAAGCATCTGAACACTTACAGTTATTTCAGCACGTGTTAAAACTCCCCTTTAAATATGAGCTTTTACCCGAGGAGGATGTTTTGTAGAGAGTTGCTTTGTAGCACCTGCATGTAAAACAGCTTAAACAAAAAGAAAGGCAAGTGATTAAAATTCATATGTGACAGCCTCTAATTTTTGCACTGACCAGCTCTTTAGAAACTCCCTGCATACCCAGCGTGAGACTAAATGCACTCAATTCACTGAAAGAATGTTGTTTTAAGCAAAATACACAGCACTGAGTTAATTTGCAGCAAGTCTGCTACTGGAGGTGGTGGAGTCAAGCGTTGGGAGGGTGGAGGGAGGGATCATTTGGTGATTTTTAACAGCTGAGGCTGTGGGTTCAGAGCAGTGAGTGCTTTGGGTCACACGTTACCTGCAGGGCAACGCAGCCACCTCCTCCCCTGGTCACGATCTCTGTCCTGGTGAGGTGCAGTGGGTGTTGCTGCCTTTTACACCTTCGGGGGTGCCAGGGGTGTTTGCAGTCCTGAAAGCAGACTGAAAGCTCTGCCATGGTCACAGGGAGAGCCAGCACAGCCGCTGGTGCCTTGGCTGATTGGTTCTTGCTTTTCTCACAGAGGAACAAAAGATCCCTTGTGTGCCCAAATCCCGGTGGCAGCTCTGGTTTCCTTGTGTGTCACTGTTCTGGGCAGAAGCAAAAATTCCCTTTGAAACTTTCCCTTTCGTCTGAAGTCAGCCTGACCAGCAGCTTTCCACACATGGGCAAGGGTTGTTCCACACTTCTCTGTGCTGGGCACTGGTGAGGCCACACCTCAAGTCCTTTGTCCAGATCTGGGCCCCTCAATTCAGGAAGGACCTTGAGGGGCTGGAGCGTGTGCAGGGAAGGGAACGGAGCTGGGGAAGGGTCTGGAGCAGCAGGAGGGGCTGAGGGAGCTGGGGGGGCTCATCCTGGAGGAAAGGAGGCTCAGGGGGGACCTTCTGGCTCTGCAACTCCCTGATGGGAGGGGTGAGCCAGGGCAGGGTCAGGCTCTGCTGCCAGGGAACAAGGGAAAGGAGGAGAGGAAACGGCCTCAAACTGTGCCAGGAGAGGTTTAGGTTGGACATCAGGAGGAATTTCTTAGTGAAAAGGGTTGTTAAATGTTGAAATAGGCTGCTCAGGGAGGTAGTGGAGTCCCCATCCCTGGAGGTGTTCAAGGAGTGACTGGATGTGGCACTCAGTGCTCTGGGCTGGGTGACAAGGTGAGGATCAGTCACAAGTTGGACTTGATGACCTTGGAGCTCTATTCCAACCTTAAAGATTTCATTATTCTCACCCTGACCTGTGTCCCTCTCCATGAAAATGTACCATCAGTTATTTCCAGCTCCATGGAGGTGACCAAAGTTTGGATGGTGACAGTGCAACACCAGCTTCCCCTTCCCAGCCTTTGGGAGCTTTAGTTAGATGTTTAGTTAGATATTCCCCTTTGTGTCTGCAGCTCCGTTTTTCTTCTTCCCAGCTTTTCTCAGCCAGCTTGAGTTGTTGGTGTGGTCACTGTGTTGTCTTCCTGATGCTGAGCTGAGTCTATTAGGAAAATCACTGCAGTGTGCTTCAGCAGTGAATATATTTGTGTGACTTTGCTCTCTTTGGCCCCTGTCCCTTCATTTTGTCCCACCTGGCTTCACTCTGGGCACTGGTTGGGAGCTGCTAGTCCAAGTAAGGTTTCATAATGCTTTGGGGTTTGTGGTTGTTTTTTTTTTGTTTGTTTTGTTTTTTTTTTTTGTTGTTTTGTTTGGTTGGTGTTTTTTTGTTTTGTTTTTTTGTGTGTACTTTTTGTTTGTTTGTTTTTAAATAAAAATCATGCATTTTACTTAATAAAATACAGAATTGAACAGCACCAGGTGAGAGAGGTATGTGGTATGAATAGCGCTGCTGTGGGCAATGGAGCAGAAGAATGGGCTCTCCAAAGGTTGTCAAACGTCTTTCAAAAGCAGGGAGCAGGTAGTAAAGGTGATCTTTGCTCAAATCATAAATCAAATATTGGAGGTATTATAACCCCCTTGCTGTATATTCTGTGTGTTTTCCCGTTAGCACATCTGGATCTTGTGGTAATAGGAACATTACCTCAATTTTGTGGGCCTCCTAACAGGTGTGATGTGGCAGCAGCCTGTGTCAGATAATAACACAAAATAATTTCAGTGTTCAGGTCTTACCCTGGGAAAGACCTGGGGTACTTAAGGAGTTGTGAAAGCCTCCTAAGAGCATGGACTGGGTGAAGTGCCATAGCCTTTATTCCCTTGGGCATCTATCAGGCTGATGCTTTCACAGATACATGGTGTCTGCAGAACTGTTTCATGTGGCCAGGCACAAATATCTTGATCTGATTCACGTATAACTCTGCTAAACTGGAAATGTAGAATATTTTAATGTTTTTCCAGGAGCGTGAAAGGGCTCTGCAGAGCTTACCTGACCCTTGCAACGTCAGTGGGAAAGCAAGTGTTTTTGTAACCTGTTGGTTAGACTAGATCTTCCTCCCTCTCAGTGTGAGGATCCCCTCACGGTGTAGTGTTGTTGATAGTTCTTACAGAACAAATAAAAAAAATAATTCAGGAGTGATTTGATGAGTGAGTTCAGCTTCTGCATATCTGGTCTAAACTGCAGCTCTCTGGGTACCAGATAATT